CCCATGGATTGCAGGTTCCCGATGTTCTCCTTCTTCAGGCTGGGCTGTCCTTGTGGGTGCCACATGGTTTGGTGGTCCACGGCTTCCCCCGCCCTCATCTTCCTCTCCCCCCGATGAGCCTAGTTTAAAGCCTGCCGGAGGAGATCCGCCAACCTAGAAGAGAACACACGCTTACCTTTGGGGGACAGGTGAAGCCCATCCCAACTGAGCATGTCCCTCGTCGTGATGTGCGGGTCATTGTCAAGGAAGCCGAAGCCTGCCTCGAGACACCACTGCCGAAGCCGCCAGTTGGTCTCTCTAATGCAGTTCTCGTGCCGTCTTCCGTGTCTGCTCACTGGTAGGGCAGAAAAGAATACCACCTGTGCACCGATCTCCCTCAGCACACCGCCCAGAGCATGGTAGTCCGTCATCAAGTGATTGGGGTTTCTCCTGGCCGCATCATTAGTACCCACATGGACGAGGACCATAAGGTAGTAATTGGTGGGCTGAATCATGGCCTGGATTATTCCCATTACGTCCCGAATCTTTGCTCCGGGCAGGCAGTAGACCTCTCGTGTTGAGGGGTCCTGGCGACAAATGGGCCCTTCTGTACCTCTCAGGATGGAATCGCCTATGACGATCACTCGATGCCTCCTCCTCTGGGCCTGCTTGGTTCTCCTGACCTGTTCAGAGTGTGGAGAATGTGGCGTTGCTTCCTGCCCAGAGGTTTCCTCCTCTCCTTCCATCTCCTGCAGGGTCGCCAGGGCCTCGTACGTGTTCTCCAGTCGGACTGGAGGAACTGGTACTGGTTTACTGCGAGAAGCTCCGGTCCTGGATGTGACTGTCTGCCACTCTGCTGTGGAGGGCACTCCCCAGGGTGTCATCCCCCATTGCCAAAACCATTCTGGAGAAATCTTCATTTGTATAAAGGAGTTTAGTGACTTCCTCACCCCTTGCACTAGGTCCATACTTCCAGAATCAGGATCATGGATTTGGACTGGGATTTCCAAAAGAATACCAAGCCCTAGAACAACCATAGTCATTGAAAGAGCATGGGAGCTTGGCACTAAATTACTTTGGGTTCCTCTGAAAACCACCTTAGACAATTTAAGTGGGATTTTCAACAGCACATAAAATGACTCAAAAGCCCATGAGATGTAGGCACTTTTGAATGTTTTACCCACCGGGGAGGTAAAGCAGCAAAGCACACAAGAAAGCTCTGCTGATGTTACCAGCTGAGAATCCGGCCCAGTGTCAGACACAAGGAAAGGGAAGGATGTCTACCACTGGAAAGGGCGCCAGGGTGTGATTTACAAATTGGTGATAGCTGTGCTTGAGTGAGGGCTGCAAGTTTGTGGCTTATATACCTGTTTGGCATTAAATAACCCTGTCAACCCCATCTGCCCCATTGCTGGGTCTTTGCTCTGTAATCTGAGCTCCTCACAGCTCCTGAGGTTTCATTGTGGTTTTTTTGTTTGCAAAAGCTGCAGTTGGTCTTTTCCCTTTGGTGAGGAGCGGCCAGCTCCATGCAAAGCTGTCGCAAGGAATGAGACTCGTTCTGGCTTGTTGTTCATCCAAAACACAGGCCCTGGGACTCAGAGGAATTTAGGGAGTCCCTGATATCTTCAGACCTTGTTACATATTAATTTTAGGCAGCTCCTGGAGCTCTTAATCCCTGGATTGTCCACATATTGATACCTGGAACTAGCTTTAACCACACTTTTATGTGGCTTAAAGTTATGCCACTCCAGGGAAGGTTTATCTCTGATCCGTGTTACCCAGCTCGTTTTCCATTACTGTGTGGCCACTCCCCACGGATGAGCTCCCCACGTTGCAGTCCTCCAGCATCCCAGGATGCCGTGTCCCCTCCCCCACCCTTCTCTTCTGTATGGACAGACTTTCCAGCCCTGTGAACTCTACTGCCCACAGGGTAGTTCTGGTGCCACGCCAAATCCCTCTCCTGCCCCTGGGGGTATGCACAGCTGGCCAGGTGGCAGGGCATGGACAGGTCCAGGAGTGGGGTCTAGAGTGGGTGGAGGGGAACAAGGTAGGGGCCAGATTGGTTCCCCATGAACTAGGGTTTCCTTCCCAAGGCAAGGACAGTAACTCCCTCAAAAGCACCTTCCCTCAATGCTCCCACCTCCCAGCCACCCCAGGAAACATAACCAGCACCACTCACATGCCAACCCTCTGTTCCAAATTATTAAAATATGACTCCTTCATTAATTTTCTTCCGCCTTATTTCTTTTTATTTTTTTTACTTCTATTTATTTTGTCCTTCAGTGGCTGAATTCCCTTCCTCTTCCCTCATTTCCTTTCCACCATGTATTTCATCACCCACCCCCACCCCATTAACCCTCTGCCTCCCATCTTAATGTTCCTGCCCCCACCCCAACCCCTCTCAGACCCCCTCCCCACTAGATCATGGATAGAAACCTGCCCTTGCTCACCAGCCCTGTAGTAGAAACTCACAGCTGGAGCTCTTAGTATGGCCCTTTGGCCCTTGCTTGCCAGCCCTCTAGTGGCAAGTCACAGCTGCGCAGGTGGGGGACAGTCAGAGAAGGTCTTTAGTCTTAAGGTGTGACTGCTCCAAACTTGAGCCAGCACAGACAGGGTGCATCTACACATGTGCCTTACTGGGAAGTTGACCAATTAGCTCTGGAGTAAAGCATCACAGTCTACACATGCGCTGGCATTAGGGCACGGTAAATGAATTAGGATAGTACTGTCAGGGACAGTACAGCAAATGCTCCATTATCTGGCACCCATGGGAAATGGGGGAGTGCCAGATAACCAAATGTGCTGGTTATATGAGAGCCGTCTTTGCCTGGTTGGGCAAAGACGCTCCTCCTGCCACGTCCAGCGCATCCACATCTCAGATTAACCATGCCGTCCCTCCCGCCCCTCCCCTGGTGTCAGCATGCTGGGGGAAAGGAAGGGGGGGGGCGGGGGGCGCTCTGTGCAGGCTGCTTTACCCCGCAGAGGCTGCTTTCCTTCAGGCTGTGGGATTTGACAAAACTGGAAGTCCCACGTCCGGTTTCACTTTTGCCGCGTCGACCGGCATCAACCGGCATGCTGGTTAATAGAGCATGCCAGTTAATGAAGTGCCGGTTAATGCAGCTTTTACTGTACTATCTTATGGTGGAGTACTCTACTGTGCTGAAATGCACATGTAGATGGTGGCTGGGGGTATAAATTGTGCCTGGTAAGCCCAGCCAGCCTGAGGCCTGCTCTACCCTGGCTCAAATTGCTGTTGTCCTGGGCGCATGTGGAGACGCTGCACCCAAAAGCAGTTTACTCCAGCTCAGAGTACTCCAGAACTTATTGCGTTGGATTAACTGCATGTGTAGAAGCACCCACACCGGCCAAAATTTGAGCAGTTCAAAGTGCAACGTGTAAGAAGGCCCTTGCAGTTTAGCACTGTAACAAACAAGGAGCTCCAAGCTTTCCTACATCGCTGTGCCCACACTGAAGAAGCTGACTGTAGGGCATTGAACCCCGCTTTACTAGGAGGAACACACACTAAACCCCAAGAAATAAGATCCATGTGACTCATTTGAATTTATGTGAACATGACTTACGTCAGTATGACTTAATGTGGCCTCAACCATATACGTAACATCCAGAAAAATCATGTATATTTGAAAAAGGATGGCTCTTCTCCTGGTTGTTGATCTAATCCCATTCATTTCCATGCAATAGTGCAAATAGAAAAAATAATTGTCAGCTGTTTTCCAGGATGCTGGTAAGGTGTTTCCATGTCTAGATGGTGGAAGAAGGGGGGAAATAATTCCAAAGGTCAATTCTTCTCTGTGGACTTAAACCACTCTGTGAATTTAGCCTGGACTTGATTTGTTTTCACTGCTCACTTTATCTCAGTGTAACTTGTTACACTACCAAATCTCAGGAGGGTTATCAAGTTAAGTTGTACATAACTCAAAAGATGCTCTTGCTTTATCAAGAAAGATTTAATAGGTAAACTTTCTGAACAAGGGGTCAGGGATTTTATATATGGATTCAGGTACATAAGTAAAAGTGTAGTGAACAGCCACCAATGCCTAATGGCTTCAGCTTTAAACATGACTTGTTTAATTCTCAAAATATACAGGTAGTTTTCTATTAAAAAAAAAAAAAATATTACTAGCAAATTGCCTGTCAAGAATGATGGGGGTCGTTGGGCGGGGATGGAGCCCCGCGTCCAGCCCCGTGCCCCCTCCCACCGCTCCGAGTCTGCTTCCCCTGCCCTGCATTGCTCCAGGTCTGGCCCCATTCCCTCCTCTCCCCCGGCGCTCTGGGGCTGGCCCTGCTCCAACACCACCACCCCCGCCACTCCGGGTCCAGCCCCGCTCCACCTGCCCCCCCACTCCTCCTCATCCTTCCCTGTTCCACCACCTGCTCCGCATCCACCTGCCCTGCGTCCACCTCCCTCCCTCCCTGCCCACTGCCTCCCCCTCCCTGCCGGCTGTTCTGGCACCACCCTGCCACCACCATGATTCCCTCTTCACCCTCAGGCAGGGAGGCGAGGGGGAAGCCCCACTGCTCAGGTGGCCGGGGCATGTTCCCCACCACCAAACTTCCCCGGCAGTGTTGCAAACTTGTGCCCATGCACCCAGGCTGCGCAGCCAATCATGCGCAGTTGCCCAAAAGCATTGCAGACAGACAGACACACAGATAGACAGCCTAAGCCTTTTATTATATTAGAATACTGTGCTATGTTACATATAGTATATATCATACCATATGTATTATAATATATATGACAATATGGCATATTCTATTGTATCACAATAGAGTATTCTTGGGTGTATGTTAAACAGCACTGAAATCTGGGTTTGCTTTGGTCAGGTATCAGTGATATTAAAGGGCTCCTATACACATGCAGGGAGCCTGCTCTGACATGCTGTAATGCCAGTGTGTCGGAGCAGACTCGATTAATTGACTCTGCTGGAGGGTGGAAATTACTGCACTCCACCAGCCTCCAGTGTCACATGTATCAGCATCCCCATGCTGAAAACTGGCAGTGGGGTGTTTTAAAGCTCATTTGACGAGCTTTAATTCAAAGTGCCCCACTGCCATTTTTCAGTGTGGGAACACTGATACACTTGATGCTCCAGGTGCTTTTAATTAGCATGGCTCTTGGAGAGGGGTGGTGAGTGGCTGCGGGGTGTGGTGTGGGGAGTGGCCACGGCATGGGGAGCACCTGCTGGCTGCTTCCATGTGGCACAGAGAATGCCACCGGGGTGTGGCTCAGGGTGCACAGGGGGTTGTGGCACATGGCTGCATGTCGCATGGCCCTGGGGCATGGCACAGGGGAGTGGCCATGGCACGGGGAGCACCTGATGGCTATGGCCGCATGGCACAGGGAGCAGCCTGAGGTGTGTCAAAGGGCACATGGCAAGGGGAGCACCCACCAGCTGCGGCCAATGGCATGGGGCGCACCCTGAGGGTGTAACACAGGGCGTGTGGGGATGTGGTGCATGGCCGCGGGGCATGACATGGGGAGCATCCATGGTGTGGAGAGTGCCCACTGTCTGCGGCTGTGGTGTGTGGCATGTAGCACAGCCCTGGGGTGTGGTGCACGGCATGTGATGGCAGGGGGTGTGGCATGCGACCACAGGGTGGCATGCGGGAAGTAGGCATGGGGACATGGCCTGAACCACAGCTGCATCCTACAGCTGGTGGGCACTGCCCATGCCCCCCTGTGCCTGCTCCCCTCATGGCACCCTGTGGCCACGTGCCCGCATGCCATTCTTCCCCCACACACACCCTGCATGCCCCTTGGTTGCAGCCAGCGGGTGCTCCATGTGCAGGGTGACATGGCACACGGCCATGGGGGGGCGTGGCTTGCAGTCACGTGGGGGGGTATGGTGCATGGGGGGTATGGTGCACCGGGGGGCATGGCTTGTGGATGCAGGTTGCCCCTTGGGGAGTGGGAGCAGGGGGCATGCCCTGCCCCATGGCCACATGCTACTGAAAGTGGGCACTGCCTGCACCCCTCTGCCCTCTCCCTTGTGGCACCATGTGGCCACACGCAAGGCCCCCCATCCCATGGAGGCACATCCCCCACGCCGGCTCTGCTTGTGACACCCTGCAGCCACGCATGCCAGAGCCCCCCTGTACACCATGCTCCCCCTCCCCCCGCGTGTGCCCTGTGCACCCTGCGGCCACAACTGGTGGTCACTCCCTGCACAAGGGAGCATAGCTTGTGGCTGCACAGGGGGAGGGGGGGGGCATTGCGCATGGGAGGGGTTGGCATTCTGGCATTCTGCAGTTTGGCATTCTGGGAGAGGGCATGGGAGGCGTGCCCCACCCTGGGGCAGTGTGCTGCAGCCAATTGCCACTTCCTGTGCCCCCCTGCCCACTCCAAGCACAACACACTGCAGCCGTGCGCCAGACCGCCCTCCCCCCCCCGGCCATACGCCACGCTCTCCCGCATGGTCACAAGTCACATCTCCCCGTGTGGTGGCAAGTCATGCCCCCCGCATGACCGGTCCCCCCGCTGTGCCCCTCAGTGGGAAGCACAGCCTGAACCTGACCACCTCTACTTCCGCCTCTGCCTGCCTGTCTGTCTGTCTGTAAGGCTCCGGGTGGCGCATGCACAGTTGGCCCAGAGCATTATAGACAGACAGATACACAGATGGAAGTGCTACAGCTTTTATTATATTAGATAGGGGCACCACAGTGACGCATGAACATATTCTAGATGTTTAAGTGTACCCCTTCTCTTAGATGTTAGATGTTTTCCATAAAACTCAAAATTATTTGCCTGAAAAGATCCTTCTGACCCTGGATTCAAAGCACATTATGGAAGTGTAATATCTTTCCTGTTCTGTGATTCTAGCCAGAAGTTTGCCTGTGCCTTATGATGCAAGGGTTTCCTAGATGCTCTCATTTTTTAGGCTGCAAAATTTCAAGCCCAGGATCTTTTTCACATTTTGAACACCAGTGCAGAAGATGCCATAATAAAAAGGGCAAGTCAGTCAGCAAAGCAGAACTCCTCGACTTCTGTAGCAAATCTCAGGATGTTATCCTCCCGCTGTATTCGGCCTTGGTGAGGCTGCAGCTGGAGTACTGCATCCAATTCTGGGCTCCACAATTTAAAAAGGATTTAAAAAGGATGTGGAGAAGCTTGACAGCGACCAGAGGAGAGCCACACGCATGATCAGAGGGCAAGAAAACAGGCCTTATGATGAGAGGCTGAGAGCCATGGGACTCTTCAGCCTGGAAAAGCGCAGGCTCAGGGGGGACCTGGTAGCTGCCTATAAGTACATAAGGGGCGTACATCAGGATCTGGGGGAACGCCTGTTCACCAGAGCACCTCAAGGGATGACAAGATCCAATGGTCACAAACTCCTCCAAGACCATTTCAGGCTGGACATAAAGAAAAATTTCTTTACTGTCTGAGCCCCCAAGGCCTGGAACAGACTGCCGCCGGAGGTGGTGCAAGCACCTACTCTGGACTACTTTAAGAAACATTTGAATGTTTATCTTGCTGGGAACCTTTGACCCCAGCTGACTTCCTGCCCCTGGGGTGGGGGGCTGGACTTGATGATCTTCCCAGGTCCCTTCCAGCCCTAATGTCTATGAAATCTATGAAATCTATGAAATGGGTTGGTTTTACCATGACAAATTCCATGTGATTCTCTTGCAGATTCAGAGTGGCTGCGTTACTGCAGAACCGTTGTCCCTATTGAGAAAAATAGCTTTGGCAACAACAATACCTTGGCAATAGGATGTAATATAGCATTGGTGGGAAGAAAATTACCTGGTTTTACCTGGGACCTGATTGTGCCTTGGAAATGGTATTTTTTAAAAGAAAAAGGGAGTGCAGAAAGAGTGCATGTAAAAAAATGCCTAAGCGTAAGGAGACATTTAAAAAACAACTTAAGTGATTTAGGAGCCACCATCCCATTTTCAAAAGCACTTAGATGCTTATCCAAATAAAAAGGAGAACTAGGATAGAAAGGATGGCCAGCAGAAATCAAGTCAACCCATCTAAAATGCTTGAACTCTGAGGCAGGGACTATCTTTTTCTGTATGTTTGTACAATATCTAGCATAATGGAACTGCAACTGGTTTTACATAGGGATCCACCATAATAAAAATAAAAAATAAAATGTAATGCGGGGTTTGGAAAATAAACACACAGAGCAAAATAATCCCCACTGAAACAATGAGAAATGTACCAAGTAGGAAGGCCATCTGATCGCTGCAACAAATTACTATCTACCTATCAACAGGCAAAGTAGCCTGGTATGCTGTTGAAGTGGTACACTGATGTTGTAAAAGTGATGTTTCTTTTGAACTGGGTCTGATATAATAGGAGTTGTATTCATCGAACGCCACAGTGGCTCCTATCAGCCTGAATTTTAGTAAGAAAGCTCACTGGGCACTTGGAAGTGAATTTGGTAGTCTTAATGGATATTCAAGCCCAGAGGACAAAGGCAGGCAGAGGTTCTGAGTTAAAATGGGTAGCACACACCTACACAGCTTCAGGACAGAAACTTTCTAGCCTTGGAGATAAAACACTGAAGGTAACAGGAGTTTACACTATAATTAGATGGGACTTTGGAAGTGTACAACAGATTATAATAGCACATATCTGTACCCCTACTAAAGATTAGAGCTCAGGAAGGTACATAAATATGTGCATAAGCCCACCTGTGTCTAGCAAAGTACGTTAGCATTTACTTAACTTGTAAGGTGAGATCAGCATGATGGAAGTGCTCCTGGGCTGAGTATGGATGGATGTCAGTGTGCCTTTCAATGTATGCTGAACCAGCGCATTGTTGTCCCAAGGTAGTAAAACACTCCCCATCTACTTCTATATCCTATTTTTTATTCCATTTTAAAATTCTTTCCTCTTAAATCTGTTTGGTGAGACAGGTGCCCAAGAGTCGGAGCCTACACCACTTCTACCAGAGCTTCCTAATGGAGCCGAAAGAAATCTGAGTAAGGATGTTTACTGTGGTTCTTGTTACAGTATTTCCAGGCATTAAAAGGCACCAGTGTGCAGCCTTATTGGGAAAGAGACCCAGAAAAGGTATTTATTCCAGCCACATGCAATGAGATGATCCACAGGTTGGTTCA